GTTTTCTGAAAATATACAAACATATTCTCTACCAAAAGTTAATAAAGGGATATTTTCTATAAATTTGACTTGGAATCCCTTTTCATTTTTTCCCCCCAAATGCTTTTCCTTTGGCTAGTTTTGACACCATGTATGTTTTTCATGGGTATCTTGCTGTTACCATTTCAAATGAAAGTTAATTTTCTAAAGTACAAATTTTCTAGATGTAATTTACTCACTGAATAATTTTATGAGCTAAATATTTCTCAGATGTGTACCTTCTTCAGTAAGGCCTTCAGCATTTTGCTCTCCATAACTTGGCTCCTGCACATCTGTCAAGCTTTATGTCAGACACCTATTACTTTTTATGTTATATTCAAGTTACAGAAAATACATTTTAGTTCCACAAGGATACCGAAGGCATTGCTCATATAGATTTTTCTCTCCTATTTCTTTTCCAGCCATTATATCCTGACTCTTTCTACTCACCAAATGTATGTTTCTAAATTCTACCTGAATACAATGCACAAAACTCAGTCATAATGTTTGCCAAATGTATAAACTATACCTGTTTGTAGATTTATCTCCATTATACTTTACTGCGGGAGTATCAAGGTCATCTTTGCATGCCCAGAAATGCTATTACTTTAAAATTTAATGTATTACCCAATACAAACTCAATATTATGTAATACTAACTCAGGTTTAAAATGATCTCAATAAATATTTAACTTATCTTGTAATACTTGTTGCAAGTTTAATTTCCATTTAATAGAATAAAAGCAGAATTTTTGACAGTAGCAGTGGTTGCCCAAGATAATAAAATAACTCCCAAGTTTTAGTTGGAGTTTTAGTTGTCACCCTAAAACTGTATTCCCAGCTAAACTCCCCTTAAAGAATAGTCTTAGATAAAAATACTCTCTGAATATTTTTTAAAAATAGAAGTCTTCCTTCTAGAAAACTTTAACCTGTTAACTGGGGGTTCCCTTTTTAATTACACAACTGGCTTGTACTCTTTCACTAGGACGTGTCAGTATGTCACACCCAGAGGATGTAATTTCATATTATTATTATTTTTTATTTGTACTTAATTAAAATAAATGAAATATATATTTTTTCATTTATTTATATATAAAGCACAAAGGAAAATACAAAATTACAAACAAATAGAAAAGAATACCAACAAAAAAATGGAAACATTGAATTAAAAAATTATAAATTTTACAATTATAAAGATTACAAAAATATATACCGTCCATCTCAGGGCGCAACATATATTTCAAGGACATAGTCATACGTCCTACCCATTCCCGATATTGTTTACATTAGACATATTTATAGGTCACGCTCGGTTAACAGGTTAATAAATGATTCATCAAAGTATTTATTTCACAAAGAAACATTTTTTCTAAAGGACCTATATATCAAGGAGGTGGTACACATGTGAGTAATTTCCAATAGGTCATCTGAATAAGGCACAAAACTATTGATGTTGACTAACTTGCAGGTGAAAATCATAATAGAACTAAAATATTTGACAATAATACATAATATGGCAAGAGGTAGGATGCTGATGTGTTATACCATCCTAGGGTCTTGTATTAATTGATAGTAGATAGTTAACTGAGATTACATTTTGTTAAAATTTAATGATATCTATCATAGAATATATGTAGAATGTTGATCTTCTGGACCAGCAAACGCAATATAAAATAATATAGAAAAACTTAACTGACTAAAAAAAAAACCATAGATATAGAGAGATAACTGCAAAACTTGTAATCAGATATTAACCAACTTCCAAATATATCTGTAAAAATAAGCTCAGTAATTAAAGATAGATTTTAGGTTGGGAAAACTCTATAAATGGAAATTTAATTTAATGCTAATTTTCCAGGAAGTACAGGGTCAGTGCATACCAAGAACCTCAAATTAATTTATTCTTTTAAACTAAATAATAGCACTTCTAGTAATTTATCCAACTTATCCAAAAGAAATTATTATAAATGTAATCAAAGAAATATACACATACAAAGACACATGTAACATACACACAAAGCAATATTCTAAAGTCATTAAAATAAAGTTTTAATATACAACATTATGTCATAATGCTATGCAAAACAATATAGGTTACCAAAACCCTTTATACAATATGCATTAAAATCTAAAAAAAAACATTTCTTTTGGTTTTTCTCCTTTTATTAGTATACTAGAGGCCCAGTGTACAAAGTCATGCATGGATGGTGTCCTGGCCAGTAATTGGAGCCAATGGAGGGGATGGCTGGCCAGGGGGAGGGTCGTGGGGGTGCTGGCTAGATGGCGGGGGGAGGGAGAGGGAAGGGCGTGGAATGCCAGTTAGCCAGAGTAGGGGAGGGGCTGTGCAAGGTTGCTGTCCGGAAGGAGGGGCCACAGGAGATTGGCCAGGGGAAGTTGGCTGTGGGAGCACACTGCCCACCAGTGGCCAGCTCCTGTATTGAGTGTCTGCCCCCTGGTGGTCAGTGCACATCATAGAGACTGGTTGACTAGTTGTTCTGGTCATTCTGGTGGTTCAGTCATAAAAGTCACTTAGGCTTTTTTATATATAGACTAGAGGTTCAGTACACAAAAAATGCAGGGAGGTTCTTTCATCCTGGTATGCGCCCTATTGCAGTTCAGGAGTCCTCGGGAGATGTCCAACTGCCACAGAGGCAGCAGAGGCTTCTGCCAATGTTGCTGTGCTCGCCAGCGGTGAGCCCAGCTTCTGGCTGAGCAGGAGTGCACTCACCACCAGGGGGCAGCTCCTGCATTGAGCATCTGCCCCCTGGTGGTCAGTGCATGTCATAGGACTGGTCGTTCCACTGTTAGGTTGAAACAGGCTCTCTGACATTCCCCCAAGGGGTCTTGAATTTCAAAAGGGCATAGGCCAGGCCAAGGAACCCCACTAGTGCATGATCGATGCCAGGAAAGGATGCAGGAGGTTGGCCAGCCTGGGGAAGGATCACAGGATAATTTTCAACTTTTTTTCCTTAGTATACTCTTCATATTTATGACCATGAAAAAAAATCAGAAAATATTGTTATTTTTCTGCAGAACTCAAACAGCACTTCAAACATATTTCATATGTAGTATAATTTGTTTGATGCTAACACTGTCAAGATAATTACATTTCTTTACAATTTTAATCTGCATATGAGCATGCATGTGTATATTTTACCTTACATGAATTCTTTAAATCCTCACCCAAGGATATTTTTTTTACTGATTTTCAAAGAAAGAGGGAGAGAGAGAGAGGAATAATGATGTGAGAGAGAAAATTCAATTGGTTTTCAACATGTGCCTCAATCAAGGATCAAACCCACAGCCCAGATATGTGCTCTGGTAGGGAATCAAGCTTGCAACCTTTTGGTGCAAGTGACAATGTGCCTACCAACTGACCCAACCAGCTAAGTTACCTTATCCTACCTTATAAAAGAGTAATATGCAAATCAAACATCATTCCGCTCAAGCCATGCCCACTAACCCATCAGAGCAAGTATGCAAATTAACCCCAACCAAAATGGCTGCAGCCACAGAGGGCAGTTAGAGGCAATGGAGGAAGCAAAGCTTTCTGCCTACCCTGGCTGGCCTAGGCCTCCACCCAAGGCTATAAAGTTTCAATTATAGAAGATACATAAAACCAAACAGAAATGGTGGCAGCCAGAATGAACAGCCGGTTTGGCTCTGATCCAGGCTACAAAGTTTCAATTGTAGAAGGTAAATATATCCCAGATATCAGGGCCTCCACTTGGGTCGCCAGGGGGCATGGCTGGCTTGCAAACCACCACAGGCCTCTGGCCCAGGTCACCCCACACCCCAAGGGAGCCCCCACCCTGATCCGGGACATCCTTCAGGGTAAACCAGCTGGCCCCCACCCGTGCACCAGGCTCTATCATATCTAATAAAAGTGTAATATGCAGATTGACCATCACTCCAACAAACAAGATTGCTGCTCCTGTGTGGTCAAAGATCCTGCCCCTATGTGGACATAAGATGGCCACCACAAGATCACCAGCAGGGGAGGACAGTTGGGAGGCACCAGGCCCACTAGGGAGGGCAGGTGAGAAGGACCAGGTCTTCAAGGGAGGTGATCAACCCTGTAGGGGAGGGCAGTTAGGAGTAACCAGGCTGGCAGAGGAGTGAAGTTGGGGGCAAGCTGGCTGGCAGGGGAGCAGTTAGACATCAATAAGGCTGGCATGGGAGTGGTTAGCAGGTGATCAGCCTGGCAGGCAGAAGTGGTTAGGGGCAATCAGGAAGGCAGGCAGGTAAACAGTTGGGAGCCAGCAGTCCTGGATTGTGAGAAGGAGGTCCGACTGCCCATTTAGACCTGATCCCGGTGGGATCAGGCAGTCGACACCCCTCGAGGGGTCCTAGATTGGAGAAGGTGCAGGCTGGGCTGAGGGACACACCCCCACTGTGTGCACAAATTTCATGCACTGGGCCTCTAGTATGAATTTATAAAAAGCTTGAGGTAGGTAGTGTTATCATCATCCGGTATTCACAGAAAAGGAGACTGAAAGACAGATTACAATATGCTAGCTTATAACTTTGCTAATTTTGTTTTTTCTGTGCCAGTTTCACGAAATACATAGAGACTACTGAGTTGTTTTCTAATTTTGTAGATCAATTTCTGTAAGGTTCTAGAAGAACAAGGGTGACGGTTCAGTTAGTTTGACAATTATGTGAATATGTACATGGGCATAAAAGTCTCTTTTCTATTTTTCTTTACTGTTCTAAAGGCACTAGGACCAGCAGCTGTCTGTAAGTGATTTTTAACAGACCATACCACAGACATAAACACATCTCTTCAGTTAGGAACATTCTCGTGATCTTGATACTCCAGTTTCTTGGCAATTTTTCAATCCCATTAGTAAACGTGTCCCAATCTCACAAGTAAAGTTTGAGAGTTATTTTGCAATTTGTAATAACAAGGGGAAGATAAATAGCTGGGGAGACCACATCTTCTTGTTGTGTGGGACTTCTCAGTCAGCTGCAGTCGCCAACATGTCTTTCGTCCTTCTCTCTGTCCTCTGGCTCATTGTACAAACTGAAGGTAAGTGCTGATATATTGACATTTTATACAAAAGTCAAATCATTTAATGCATTTTTAAAGTACTCTTAAGAAAGTGGCACGCTCATATTATCCAAACTACCTTTTGTATTTTGGTATACTTATTCAATTTACATAAATTGTGCTCATCGTCAAGGTGTTGTGATTGGCATAATAATTTAATTAGGATGTCTCTGAAATTTTATTTTGTTCCAAGATTCTACAAGTTCTATATTTTGTTTTGTAATAATAGCAGATAATTAACTTTCAGACCAGAATTCAAGAATTTTCTAGTCATCATTCATGTTATCTTAAATAACATTAATATATCTACCCTGTAAAAAGACAGTAATTTACCTAAATAAACAATTTATACAAGTGCTGGCACTAGGGTTGATGACAAGGAAGACTTTTAAGTAAAAATTAGAGTTGCTAGACATAATCACATTAGTAAGCAAAATTAAACACTAATTGACCAACTGACCAATTAGTATTAGAGTTGGGACTAGATATTATTAAAACCCACTCTAATTTCAATTTCAGAACTCTTTCCATAATAGGATTCATACTCTTTTTTGATAAAGACTTTTAGTAGTATATTTATGCATGCTCTTTTCTTCATGTGTAGTGAATTCTTCTTAGGATAGCATCACAGCAGAACTTTGAGGGTTCATTAGAAGAGATTTTATGACTTACTGTTTCCCTTCAGGTTGTCCACATGAGCCAGATATAGAATTGCCTAAAGTCCACTGACTGTCAACATTGAGTGAGAAATTGTCTCTAACCATTGAAACTTGTCTGTGAAAATAGAAACACTTAAAAACAAAACTGAATTTCTATGGATAATTGAATGAGTAAAGAAAAAAAATGGATAAAGGTGTGCCTGCCACCTGGTATTAAATCATTTTATAAAGTTTATGCTATGTGATATTTATACCAACCTCTACTTTAGGAAAATAAACTAATAGAAATTGAAATAACTTTTATAAGATTACTTACAAGGTCATTTAGCTAGGATTCAAGTCCAAATTTTGGCTCCAACCTGTTATTTTCTTACTATATGCAAGTAAAATAGAAAATTCTCTACATAATGTAATTCCAAGTAAATCCAGAACTTTTAGTCTATATAAAATTTTTCTTCTGGCTCTTTATGCTTTAAAATTGTTCCAACTGAGAATAACAAAAACATTATTTCCTATGAAATCTAAAGTCTGAGAGCAAATGCTAATGAAAGACCATAATGGTTTATTGTTGCACTGAGAAATAAAATAACTGTTAGTAGAATGAAGAATTATCTGTCTATAAAATATTTTAAAATATATTTCTTTATTGATTTCAGAGAGGAAGGGAGAAGAAGAGAGAGAAATATCAATAATGAAAGAGAATCATTGATCAGCTGCCTCCAGCACATCCCCTACTGGGGATTGAACCCACAACCCAGACATGTGCCCTTGTCCAGAATCGAACCTGGCACCCTTTAGTCCACAGGTCAACACTCTGTCCACTGAGCCAAACCAGCTAGGGCTCTATGATATATTTGATTTTTTCAGGGGAGGGAGTTAGTCAGGGTTTGCACTGCAGAGAGCAAAATACATAAAAAGGAATACAGAGACCACTGAGAACATTAAAAGAACAATTCACAATTTTGTAGAGGACAATAGAGGAAGAAGAAACTGGATTACTACAGGAAGAATTCCTGGCTCCCATAAATGGTATTCTAATTAAAAACCTGCCCTTTCTGGGCATAGTGGCCCAGAGTTTACACATACTGGGAGATGTCCAAAGCATTGTTCTATCACCATTATGTCTTTCCAGAACCAGGGGTCAGGAAATGAAGAGCAAAAGGAAAAAACTTTGTTCTCCAAGTTCCAGTAGAAAGAAGAACTTGTTTTTAATGTTTATTTTCTCAATGAGAATACAGTCGCCCATGCCATTTTAACAAACCAACGAAGCAAAAGCAAAACAAACTCCTTCAGAATTTTATATCACCATTGTTTCTTTTTCCTTAGCAACAGCCATAAGGAAAGTACCTGAATTTGAAGGCTATGAGATAGTTCGTCCTAAAAAACTGCACATTTTGCACAAAAGAGAGATACAGAACAATCAGACAGAGATACATGGTAAAGAGGTAAGTAATGTAAATGACTGTGGGTATTACAATTAATAGAAGTGATGTCATAGTCAACATCTTATGGTTTAATCTTCATCCAGGAGAGAACATGGAATTTATTAGAATGCTTTTACAATTAAGCACCAGAAAGAGAGTTAATTGCCTTATTTGATCAGAAAGAATAAAGTTATTTAGGCATTTCTTCAAGTTTCTGGTATGGTGGGAAGGGAGAGGAAAAAAGGAGCACAGGAAAGGCAGCCATTTTTGACAATATTCCTTGCCAAGCTCCTCAAACCCTTTCTCCTACCTCCTCCCCTTCCCAAATGAATTGCCTTACCCTTGGCTATTTTGTCTATAATGGATAACTGAACATTATCTTACTAATAAGATTTTTTAAATGTACTAAGGATATTACATTTTTTTACTATTACATTATTGCAATTATTTCCATCAGTTTATAGTTTTTACTTTATATAATTACTAGAGGCTGGGTGCATGGATTCGTGCACTGGTGGGGTCCCTCTGCCTGGCCTGCTCCCTCTTGAAATCTGGGACAACTCAGGGGATGTTGATATATATATATATATATGCAGGCTTGGAGTTGATTTTCTATAATGTATATGGTTTTATTTTATCGTAATAAAATATGTGCCTTATTATTAACCCATTAGTAATCCATTAGTGACTGTCTACTGTACAGGGGGCAAATGATTAGTCCCTATCTCACATTAGTTTAAATCAGATTAGTTTAATCTCTAAATATCATTACTGTGTTATTGTACTTTTTTGAAATCCATCTAAATACACAATTTATATTACTTTTACATATTATAAAAGCACAAGAGATATATTACTTTTATATATTATAAAGGCAAGAGAGATATGCTTTTGTCTTAAATGCACTTGCAATTACTCTTCTATATGACATATATTATTATATTGTGTTTATTTTAGCTAGACTCAGAAATATAAATTGATATTGTATAATTACATTTTTAAGGAAAAATATGAACCTGAACTTCAGTATCAGATTACGTTAAATGGAGAAGTTGTTCTCTACCTACAAAAAACCAAGTAAGTTAATTTTCTCAAAATTTAATCAGTGATTTGTATTAAGAGAATTTGGAAAAATAAATCTCGAGACCTTATTTAGTGTAATTTTAGGTAAAGGACATCAAGTACATTGAGTTTTAGATGTTTTAGATGTATTTGCGCTAATGTTATCTCAGATATGTTGATGCTTTCCTAGGAAATTACATGCAAATTGTAAAACAAAGAGAGGTGCTCATATAAATGACATTCTTCCCTGATTCCTCTTAGAATTTGCAGAAATTCTTTTCTATCCAAATACACTTAAATCTTTGATATGACTTTCCATTACTTTTATAAGAATGAATGCCCCATGTTCATTCAGGGTGCATAGCCTTCAGGTAAATTCCAGGGATGGGTGTCCCTGAGTTCTATAGCAGTCAGTAAGATTCTCTCAGAATGCAATGGTCTTTATGCATATGTGTGACCCAGCACCCTTCTGGAGCTCTGTGAAGCATCTGTCCTTTGTGCAAAGAATCCCCAAATAACTCATTTTGAGCAAAAATAATCTGCAGTCACAAGGCAGCTAAGGCCATTTCTTCCCTCAGATTTAACAGGTATAGTAGCTAATGCTTTGATTTGCATCAGCAGCAGAGTTCCAATGTTGGGAAAAGATCGGTGGGTCAGAATGTCAACACCTTCTCAGTGTAGACATCATTGCTTTAGTGCCAGAGATCACGTCAGGAATATTAATTACTCTATATTACCACAGTGAGTGTATTATGCAACTTTCTGCTCTCTACAGGCATCTGCTGGGGCCAGACTACACTGAAACTTACTACTCACCCAGAGGAGAGGAAATCACCACAAGCCCTCAGAACATGGTAGGTTTCTGGGACTCTTTCTGGATCTGCCACTTACGCTGTAAGATTCATAAGTCCAAGAACAACTTAAAAGTGTTTGAAGAACTTGAAAGCAAGTTGCTTATCTATGCAATGAGTCAACATATTTAAAAAGCATAGTCAGCATTTTAAAAGGTAGGAGTATTAGGAGGCTTCCACGTGCTTCATTTTTCTGTCTTGTCTATATGTTAAAAATAGTTTCCTCTATAGGTTTTAAAATGTCCTGAAACTATTTACTATTTTCTGATGACATATGCATTTATCCTGAAGTCAACAATGGAATATAAATTATTTCATTAATATAGTGTATATCTGGTTAAACCACCACCCTACAAATAATGCTAAGGCCTAGATGTCAGACATAAATAATCAATGCCGAAGAAAAAGATTACAAAAAGGTTACTCACGGAGTATTACCAAGTTAAGTGAGTTTCCCAGAGCCACCCCCATAGCATGTCAAATGTGTGTATCTCTAAAAAATACCACAGATAAGACTTCTGCCACAAAATGTCTCTTTCTTTCCTACTCACATGAAAACTCTCATCTCATGTATATCTGTCTGGATTCTTGCTAACACTGACCTCCAAGGAAAGTATCTGATGATAAATTAATTCATATTCAAGTGCAGTGGCTGATATTTTCATGTGGGTACAATCTTCTATGAGAAAGTGCTTATGATAACAAGATTTCTTCCAAAGGAAATGAAAACACTAATGGAATGTCAACCCTGAGAAAAGTCAGTTTATTTCTTAATAGGAGGTTATTCATTGGCTTTCTTAAAATACTCTACACAAGTGACCCCTATTTTGCTCAGATGGATCTCACCTGAGCAAAATTTCTAAATTTCTAGTTTTAGAGAAATTCTCAGGGATTTTGATGATAGTAAAGAAATTCCACTAATACAGCAATTACTGCAGTAAGGGAGAACAATTATTATGAGGGCTCAGGAGGGTTGTGTGGTGTTTTAAGAACTCTAGAATCTAGAAAAACATGTACCCCATTTTTATTGATATGGTATGTACAGTGTCTTAGGAACTCAGCAAAGGGAGCCAAATTCTCACAAGTTGTCCCTCAACTCTGAGCATTCTCTGAGAGTGCTGTGGACCCAGGCCAGCTGGCTACTTCTCAGATGCAGCGTGCACTTTCAGCAGGAGCCCACTCAGGTTCAGCCTTCCTGGACTTTCCTTTAGTGCCATTAACATCAGAAAGACAGCCCAGTCATTCAATAGGGCTCATTTCCAGGGTTGGTGGTGGAGCAGTTCATAAAACCTCTGAGCTTCCCACTGTGCTTATTTCTTGGAATTGGTCTGGCCACAGTCACTACTCAAAGACCTTTCCTACATATTCAAGATAACAGCTTCCACCACAATTGTGACCTATTTGTTCTTATAGTTAATTTTTTTTCTTTTTTCCAACCATAGGAACACTGCTACTATACAGGACACATCCTGAATGATAAGAATTCTGTTGCCAGCATTAGTACTTGTAATGGGTTGAGGTAAGAACTACTCCCCAGAATATTAAACATCAACCATCATTGTATTACACAGATAAACGTCTTCCTGGATATTGTGTCTGATACTATATTGGTTAAATGCTTCCATCAATAGTATGCTGACTGTATAATCCTTACAATCGTTTTATAATCTGCTGATCTAGTAAAAGTTAGTCCTAGCAATATTTAAACACGATGCTATACTATGGATCTTGATGAGATCTGGATCCATTTTCACATTGACCAATCCCACTCTCTGAAGACATTGTTTCATTTTTTCAGAGTCTACTTTGCAATTGTCATGATGACACACACTTAAAAAAAAAATTGTGTATGTGTGTGTGGTATTTATCCTTATTTAAAAGGTAATTCTTGCCGAAACCAGTTTGGCTCAGCGGATGGAGCATCAGCCTGCCGACTGAAAGGTCCCAGGTTCGATTCTGGTCAAGGGCATGTTCCTTGGTTGCTGGCACATCCCCAGTAGGGGGTGTGCAAGAGGCAGCTGATCAATGATTCTCTCTCATCGATGTTTCTAATTCTCTATCCCTCTCTCTTAAAAAAAAAAAGTCAATAAAATATATATTAAAAATAGATAAATAAATGAATATATATATATATATATATATATATATATATATATATATGGTAATTCTTACCAATTAGGAAAACTTTGGAAAGTAAGAAAAACCAAATAAAAAAATAACCACCATAAAATGTTACCTCTGTGTGATCACTATTGTTAACATTTTGTCTCGTTTGCAGCTTTTTGTGCATATAGACAGATATATCTCTTATGTGGCTGAAATATGAAATAAAACGCACATAATTGTTCTTCTCACATACCACAACATCAAAGCCTTTTCCCTTATTATAAGATACTTTCACAAATGAAACCTTAAATGGTTATGTAAGCTTTGTAATACTCCATCATATGGATTCAACTTTCTATTTCTGAAAGAATTTTATTACTACAAAGTGGAATTCTTTAAACTACTAGTTCCAAACTGTTCCTCAGGCTAATCTGTTCATCATTCTTTCTCTTCCCTGGGGTTCTTGGTATTTATATACTTCTTTAGTTTATTCTCCCTTGTTTTTCTACGACATTTCAAGAAATATATGCTAAATGTATGGACAAATTTTACTTTAGTATAGCTTCATCTTAGTAATTATTGTTCACAGTTCTCTGAGTAAATAAAACAGGCTCTATTTTAGTATTGAAAAATACTGATTATCTCTTACATTGGGAAAAAAATAGCCAAAAGCCAATGAATCAGTACTGTGTGTGTGAGTTTGGGATGGAGGGAGAGATGTTAATCCATTCTGGTCAGTACGTGCACATGTGGCAGAGAATCTTCAAACATGAGTCTGTTTCACAGGGGATTCTTCACACATCGTGATCAAAAATATATGATCAAGCCTCTGAAAAGCACAGACCAAGAAGAGCATGCTGTCCTGACATATAACCAGGAGGAGACAGATCCGGCTAACCACACCTGTGGGGTAAAAAATGTTGGCAGAAAACAAGGCCGTGTTCGGACCGCCAGGTCACTCAGTAGCTCAGAGGTAAATGTAGCTTTCCTATGTCATCATTTCTTTCCGTAGGCTCGGTAATGACTTGTAATAGACTGTTGTGCTCAGCAATAACTGGTACAGGGAAAACCTGTGATTTATTTACACATTCATCAATTTAATTTTCCTCTGAAGAAAAAATAAACCTATTTATAAGCTTCCCAACTTTTAGGGTAAAGATTATTATTAACGATGTTCTTTTATTCTGTGTAAAGGAAGAATACTTTCTTCAGGCTGAGAAATACATTGATCTCTTCTTGGTGCTGGATCATGCATTTGTGAGTATGAAATATGTGTGCTTCTTGTCAAGTGAAGCTAACACTTAAGTTTTCTTATCAGCAAACACAAACATATTATTCTGGCTGAAAATGCGGTGCTTGTCCTCCTAATGTTCTTATCTGTTCTACCTGTCTTGCCAACAACAGTTTTTGCTCATCCACCCCCTTTAATATTCAAAATAGTCATATATTATAGATATTCTAAATACCAGAATACCTACAGGAGATCAAGCACAATGCTGAAAATATAGAATAGGTTATTAAAATATTTTTACATTCTTACTATATTATGTAAATATAAAGTAGACACAAAGTTTTATTTTACAAGTTATATTTATATACTCAAAAATACCACAATCAGTGCTTCTAGCTAGTTAAGTATTACTTTATAATTAAATTTTAATAATATTGAATTGACTTAAAACATTTAAATGATTAATTTGTCTTATTCAATGTAAAAATGAAAGAAACTAAAACTTTAATCAATGCCTAATTTTCATATTACCAATAAAATCTTATATTTGAAATACAATTTGTTGAAACACAAAATCTTACGTAAGGTAGGTATGGAATAAATGGACATTTGTTTGCAGTAAAATCTGTAATTTTCCTTAAAATGTGTACATCTATATTTCCTCAACTTTCTCACTATAGTTTGAGATTTTAATCATTCTTGATATTTTGTATTTCACAGTATAACCTGTATAAGGGAAATCTAACTTCCATAAGAAGCTTTGTGTTTGGTGTGATGAACCTACTCAATGTGGTAAGATATTTGTCCTGTAAATATGTGACTCCATATGGTTTTACCAAGTTAAGGAGTTGGGAGGATCACAACAGTTTAAGATCAGCAGTTTTGAGAAATTTAGCAGCTAAGGATAAACATTAAGGTAAAATCATATATATTGTAGCAAGGGCAACTTGGAGAATTTCATTTTTAAAATGAGTTACATGTATCCATCACTTGTGGTCAGCAAAGGATCTAAAACATGAAAGAAATCTCAACATTTTTATGAAGAAAAATGCTCTTTCCACAGATTTATAACACCATAGATGTTCAAGTGGCCTTGGTAGGCATGGAAATCTGGTCTGATGGTGATAAGATTAAGGTGGCACCCAACGCAGGCATCACCTTTGACAACTTTCTGAATTGGCATCGTTCTAACTTGGGGAAAATGAAGCCCCATGACCATGCTCAGTTACTCAGGTGAGCATACACTGGCCAGGGACAAGCAAAGGTGGGCAGAGCAAATAATTACTCCAAAGGTTTCTTGGCAGAGTTTACTTGTTGAGATACACAACCCCAACCACTTATCAGAGAGCTTGAAGTTCTACTCTTAGAAATTCACTTGTGAAATTATTAGACCTGTGAGAGATCACTAAAATTGATTCAAGCTTTATAATTCTATGGAATACATTCTTGGATAAACTAAAGAACTTAAATACTTATAGGTATAGCCCATGGACACAGGCAATAGGGTAGTGAAGACCTGGGGCGGGGGTGGAGGGTGGGGATAGGGAGAAGCTGAGAGGATGGGTAAAGGGGGAGGGAATGGGAGATATCAGTGATACTATCAACAATAAAATAGATATACATATTAAACATAAGTTTATGGAATAGTATAAGCTTTTCTGGACCCTAGTAAATATAAAAAGGGTAGGGTAACAATGGAAATGTAAAACATAACTGGCAACAACTAATGGTGCTAAAGACTCAGGTTATGACTGTGTACCTGTAACTTTCATACAGTGGAATTGGCTTCAACAATCGACGTGTCGGGCTGGCAGCTGGCAGCTCCATGTGTTCCCCAACTTCGGTTGCTATTATTGAGGTTTGTAAACCTATAGTAAAGCTCTCTGTGGTCTTATATCCTTTATGAGGACCAGTATAGTGCCTTTTATAAAGTTGGTACAATAGGCATTTGCTGAGTCAGAAAATAAAGGTAGACCTAAAACTACTGATGGACCATGGTCCTTGGATGAAAGAACAGAATATTTCCTTACATTGACTCTTCCAGAAGGCTTAACTCTTCAGTTGGTATTAGGAAGTAAGAGCAGGAAGGTTAGGAGAGAAAGAGAATCCAGGTGTTCTCTGAGGCCTGAAAGTATTGATGGCCAGAGAGGTCAGACAAGATGCATGTTGGTGCGATGTGACCAACCACTACCAATGTCAATAGTTGGAGGCCTCTGGATACATAGAATGGTATCTTTTAGTATTTCCTATGAAGAATGTATTAATATAACCAGGGTTTACTGAGAAATTATCATAGCAAATGTTTATTAAGAACTGGCTCAGTGGTTGATTCACAAGAAGCAACCATTTCAATTATTTACTCACATTTTACAATGACCAATGGCAGGAAAAGGAATTTAATGACTATTTTTTTATTTGTCAAACTATCATTTTATCACTGAACATAGAATCAATTAAGAGCTAAATGGATCAACAAAGAAATAACAGATGTTTGCATGTTTTCAAGGCTAAGAAAAAGAATAACGTGGCTCTTGTCGGAGTGATGTCACATGAGTTGGGTCATGCCCTTGGTATGCCTGATGTTCCATATAACACTAAGTGTCCGTCTGGGAGTTGTGTAATGAGTCAATATCTGAGGTGAGACCTTGTCACCCTAAAGGAAAAAATACTTGTTTCTTAAATCCTAAAAAATTCTGATTGGTGTATAATTGGATGGGTATATTTTTGTTTTTATTTTTGTGTGTGTGTGTTTTTGTTTTTGTTTTTGTTTTTTGTGGGTTTTGGGTTTTTTGGTTTTTTTTTTACAAAGGGCTGTGTATCCCATTAATTCACCCTCAAGCCTCTTGATGCATAAGTTTTACTAGTTATTAGGGCTCATTATTTAAGATTTTTCAAATATACAAGATAGAGCATAAGTATGGTGACTATGTTATTTTAACTTTAAATACTATATTTTTAAAAATATGTATCTAATTAAGATGATTAGAATCATCTTCATCACCATTCAGTCAATCAATTTTTTCTATTATTAATTACCTTCTGGAACCAAATGCTTGCAAGGACTTGGGGGAAAAAACAAAGAATAAAACTAATTCCTGAACATAGAACATGGAAGTCTGCAATTACTTCCTTTCCCTAGGTTATTGTTATCACTTAGTTCTCAGCTAAGTGGCTAAATAAGCTAAAGATAACAAATGGTGAAGCTCCAGCCAATTAGTACAGTACTGAATCCAGGCTGGAATTTAAATTACTTTAGTGCTATAACTGAGTGTCTAGAAAAAACAGTTTTCCAACCAGCATAGTAGCATGCTCTGTCACCTCCCCATGTAACACAGGGCAGGCCTAGACAGAACTTAATTTGGAATTTCCGTTGAGCTGGAAATAGTTTCAGACAAGTCAGGTTCTCACGTTTGTGTATCACAATATATCATGGTATCCCTGATTGTTTTCTGCTTACAGTTCAAAATTCCCAAAGGGTTTCAGTCCATCCTGCCGCTCACATTTTGAAAGATACATTTTATCTAAAAAACCAAAGTGCCTGCTGCAAGCACCAATTCCTAAAAACATAATAACAAGACCAGTGTGTGGGAACCAGCTTCTGGAAGAAGGGGAAGAATGTGACTGTGGCTCTCTTCAGGTATGGAAATGTCCATGGTTTCATAAACTTATTAGAGTGATTGTGGCTCACCTGTTTTCCTCCCTTTTCCTTTTCTTAAAAAAAAAGGGGGGTGGGAGGGAAGAGGGGGTTTAAGGAAATTTTTTCTATAGACAAACTCGGAATGATAGTAAAAAGATTTTTACTGACTTTAGGGATCTTTTGAAAAGCATTTCAAAAGCCAGGATACGGTTATGACATGATTGTATGAAGTTCAATGCAAAGAGGTAACTCATTAACTATAATGTGTCACTTAGGAGCTTTCCTAAATGTATCAGTCAGGAATCCTGTGCCATGTAGTCCCAGTGGATCATCTGTTGACCGATCTCAGTTCCTCCCCATGGAGAGAGTTGGCTATCTCTCATCCAGCCAATATGTAAACCCAGAAGTGAATAAAGTGGGGGGAAAAAGAAAAAAAGAACAAACTTGTAAAAATGGATTATTAACATTGTGTATCTAAGATAATTGCTCTAGGTCTGCTGATGTCTGTAAAATCTGATCCCTTGGAGACATCAGTGTATTCCGGGAATTTTTGATAGGATGTTTGCTAGCACTCCATGTGAAGTTTGCAAAAGAGAGCATTCCGGTGGTGTGTTTTTGGTTGTTGTTATGGTTTTGTTTGTTTGTTTGTTTGTTTTAAGCAATTTTTTACTTTTAAGACTAAAATAATGAGTTAATATTTGAAGAGATTTTCTATGTGTCAGTCTACATAATGCTTTTGTATATACTAGCACAACACCTCCTTTATTATTCGCAACAAACCTATTAATCACAGCAAACCTACTAAATAGATTTTGCTATGATCCCAAATGAGAGAAGAAGCAGTGAGGCTCAGAAAGGCTGAGTAACTAGTTCCAAGGATTCAAATCTAATAATCATCCCATTGCAATGCAAGATTTGCCCATTGCTTTAAGGGGTCTTATTAAAAAGGGGAAGGCACAAAGTCTCTCTGTGCTTCAGCATATTTAGCCAGAAATGTTAAGCTGTTGAATTGTATTAGGAGATTATGTAGTATAACTTAATTATTTATAACAAATATTCCAAATATTTTATTAATTATAATGAGATATGGAGTGTTAAAGTGATTGCTTCAACTCCCATATAGCTGCTCAAGCAAGATAAGTAAAGTTGTTCATAACCCTAGGTACTTCTAATCCCAGCAGGCAAATGGCATACATAGTATATATATACTTTATATAGTACTCGTAATGGAATAATCCATTTTCCCATGATCTAATGTGCCATTTTTAAAATATATATATATTTAAGTGTTTCCTAGGTTTTTAAAGTATTCATTCTGCCCTAACCGGATTGGCTCAATGGATAGACTGTCAGCCTGTGGACCTGAAGATCCCAGGTTTGATTCCAGTCAAGGGCATGTACTTGGTTGTGAGCACATCCCCAGTACGAGGTGTGCAGGAGGCAGCTGATTGATGTTTCTCTCTCATCAATATTTCTAACTCTCTATCCTTCTTCCCTCCTCTCTGTAAAAAATCAATAAAATATATTTAAAAAAATAAAATTAATAATCCTATCTATCTAAATATCATACCACAGGCATCATGCTATTTTTAGAATTGTAACATACAATGCATTTTAATATCTTTTATAGTAACTCTTTTCATATCTATCATCTCTTTATGGTCTATCCATACAGAATTTGCATAGCAAATTTAATGTTAGTTTTTCCATATAACTCTTGGTATTCTTTTTGTCAGTTTGCCCACAAATACAACTGAGATTCAGATTGAAATGCATTAAATTCATATTTCACTAAAAGCCACTGGCATTTTCACAATATTAACTATTGTCATAAAAGACAATTTGCCTGGAAAGTTCCTCAGAAAAGTTATATATAAAGTTCTCCATGTAATTCTGACACATTTTAAAGGTTTATTCTGAAATATTTTCTTTTTGTTGTCATTAATATGTGTAAAAGTTTTTTTTTTAAATCTTTGGTTCTAATTTATTATGGCTTTTTATGTTATTTGACTATTATTTTAAACAGCTGTCTTAATGACTTAGCCAATATTTCTAGAGTTGAACCTATTTTTTTTTCCAGGTCAAGAATTTTATGACATACAAGTAGTGAAAATGTGATTTATATTACAATTATTACACTTTTATATCTTTTTCTTATCTCATAACTTTTACCACCATTTCCATATAAATATAGACTACAAATAATCCCTGTCTTATTCTTTATTTTATTAGATATATTTGCTATATATCAAATAGATTTTCTTCATCATAATGATACACAATTCTGTTCAGTTTTTTTTTGTATGTTTAAATAATGCCATAATGGTTACTGAATTTTTACCAACTAATTTTTGCCATCTATCACAATAATAGTTGTTTTCTTTCTAAGTTTCTTAATGTGATTAATTATATTACTCTATTTTGTGCAGTTGAGACACCCTTGCATATTGGAGAAAAACAAAACAACTACATAGTTGTAATTGAGAGTTATTATATTAATAAAATGATGCTTAACTAATGTTTTATTTAAGTTTTTTTGCATTTATATCCGTAAATGAGAATAGTGTCTGTGTGTTAATTACCAGTTATCAGTGTTATGCAATCTTGGTAAAACAAATTGAAGATTGAAAATATTTTTTTCTCTATCTTCAGTGTTTATAGCATAAAAATATTCTTCCTTGAAGTTTTAAATGAATTTACATGATAACATCCAGGACACATTTATTTGGGGTGATTCTTGAATAGTTCAATTTTTGTCCTTTTAAAAGGTAGTTCCTATCACTCTTAAAGTTTTTAATTTTTAATTTTAAGAAATCTTTATTGTTAAAAGTATTACATATGTCCCCTTTTCCTCCCATTGTCTCCTACTAGGCCTTTACCCCAGGCCTTTACCATTTGTATAGCAGAATAATTTAGTTTCAAAAGTGAAATGTTATTGACATCCTGTGCCCGAATTTCTCAGAGAAAAATGCTGAGTCCACTTTCCATTATGTGTGCTTTAAAGGAATGCACCGATCCTTCCTGTGAGGCCGTGACCTGCACGCTGAAACCTGCCGCTGATGCTGATAATGAAGAAGAGACTCTGATGTAAGACCTTTATTTTCTTCCTTTTTTTAAAATTTATTTTTTATTTTTTTATTTTTTATTTTTTAAAAATAAATCTTTATTGTTCATTTTATTACAAATGTTCCTCATCCCTTCCCCTTCCATTGCTCCCCTCCACCAGGTTCCCACCCCACCCTCTGCCCTTTCCCTACTGTCCTCATCCAGAGGTGCACAGTTTATGTTCAGTCTCTTCCCATACCCCCCTCTCCTCTTTCCCCCAAGAATTGTCAGTCCACTCCCCTTCTATACCTCTGATTCTATTATATTCAACAAGTTAATATTGTTCATCAGATTTTTTTTTTAATTTCCTTGGTTTTTAGATTCACTTGTTGATAGTTAGGTATTTGTTGTTCATAGTTTTTATCTTTATTTACTTTCTCTTCTGAAAGAACCCCCTTCAGCAATTCATATAATTCTGGTTTGGTGGTGATGAACTCCTTTAACTTTTTTTTATTAGTGAAGCTCTTTATCTGGCCTGAGTGATAGCTTTGCTGGGTAGATTATTTTTGGCTGTAGGTTCTTACTATTCATCACCTTAAATATTTCTTGCCATTCCCGTCTGGCCTGCATGGTTTCTGTTGAGAAATCAGCTGACAATCGTATGGGTGCTCCTTTAGAGGTAACTACCTGCTTTGCTCTTGCTGCACTTAATATTCTCTCTTTGTCTTTTGCTCTTGGAATTTTAATTATGATTTTAATTATGTGATCTTCTTTGGATTCCTTTTGTTTGGAGTTCTGTGTGCTTCCTGGACTTGTAAGTCTAATTCTTTCACCAGGTGGGGGAAGTTTTCTGTCACTATTTCTTTCAGTATGTTTTCGATATCTTGCTCTCTCTCATCTTCTGGGACCCCCATAATTCTGATGTTGGTTTGCTTGAAGTTGTTCCAGAGGTTTCTTACATTATCTTCAACTTTCTGGATTCTCTTCTTGCTTCTGTGAAGGAGTGTCTTCTGGCTCTTTATGTTCCAAATCTTTGACTTGATTCTTGCGATCTTCCATTTTGTTTTTAGGACTCTGTATAATATTTTTTATTTCAGACAATGTATTCTTTATTTCTTGTTGATCCCTTATTAGTTCTTGTTGATCCCTTTTCATCTCCTCATAGGTCTTATCGACCTTTTCTAGGAAATTCTTGAAAAACCTTATAAGCATGGTTTTGAACTCTATATCCAGTCTCTTCTTTTCCTCCATTTCTTTTGTTTGTGATCTATTTCCTTGTGTTGGCATTTTCACAGCTTCCCTGAGTTGATAGGGTGGCTTTGTGTGCTAAGGTGTCCTATATGGTTCAGTGAGTCAGCCTCCCAGTTACCTGAGGTGGACAGTCTTGGTGTAGCCCTTTGTGGGATGTGTGTGCAGTCTTGTTGTTAAGCCTTGCTTGTTGTTGGTATCACTGGGAAGTGTTGATCTCCAAGCCAATTGGCTATGAGGATCAGAAGTGTCTCAGCTAGGAGGGTTTCTGTATTCCTCTTGGATGGGCGGAATCTCGGGGTGCCACAGCCATGCTTTGTTGAAGCCGGCACAATTGGTTGCAGGTGTGCACACCTCTTTGGTATAGGCGCAGACAAGCTTTAGATTCCTATCTGCCTCTCCCTAGGAGAGTCCTATTGGCAGGGAACGAGGAAGCTAGCCACTGGAAGGGCTTCTGTGCTCTGCTTGGATGGGGCATAGTCTCGGGTGGTGCAGATAAACTTTATTCAGCCCCTCCCTATGAGGGTCTGGTTTCTGAGTCCCGCAGTAATGGCCGCTGGCTTCACACACCTCTGAGAGATATCTGCCCACTGCCTGACAGTCTGGCCTCTCCCTGTTTGGGATCATCTATCAGCACAATAGGGTGGTTCTGTTTTCCTCCTGCACAAGAAAGCCAGCCACTAATGCTGTCAGCCCTCTCTGCACACTGGGAGTAAGCTGGTAGCAAACGTGGCTTGCCCTCTCCACACTCTGCAAGCAAGCCAGCAGCGAACTCTGTGGCCGCTTTTTCCCGCGCACAGTTTTCTGTACCTTCACAGTTCCTGAGGTTCAGCACGCCTTCTCTCTCCTTCCCAGATGGTAGAGCCTCCCCTCAGCCAGCCGTCTGGCGCTTCAGGGTGATGTTTCCCCTGTTTTTCAGTTCCAAACTCAAACTTGTTGTGGTAGGCTGCATTCGGGTGTCTGTCCTATGCCGCCATCTTGGTTCTTCCTATTTTCTTTCTTTATTGTCAAACATTTTCTCACTTTTATTTTGTATGTAAGAAAGATGTGACACTGAGTCCTTTAACATATTAAAACACAATTTTTACAGTTAAAAATGACAGCCTCAAGAAGGAAAAAATAAGCCATCATTATGAACAAAAATAACTAACACACTAATGAGAAAATGGCTACGTTGTTATCTGTGAGATTAGGACTGCTGATAATATGTGCTAAAAATTGTTTACATTTCTGTAAGGTAGTGATGAGTTTAATGTTAGCTAAGGTAAGAGAAGAAAAATTCATTTTATTTTATTTTAATTAACTTGACCGGGGTGTCATTGGTTAATACAATCATGTAGGTTTCAAGTGTACATTTCTATGATACATGACCCATATGTTGCATTGTGTGATGATGCCAAAGTCAAACCATCGTTGATCACCATACATTTGGCCCCCTTTCCTCTGGTTACCACCATACTGCTGTCTGTGTCTGTGAATTTCAGTTTTATATCCCACACATGAGTGAAATCATATAATATAGTTCGTCTCAAAGTCAATCATGTTGTCACAAATGCCCGTATTTCATCTTTTCTAATGACTGAATAGTATTCCATAGTATATCTTATACCACATCTTCTTTTTCCCAACCTCTATCAAAGGACATTTTGATTATCTCCATGTCTTGGCCACAATGAATAATACTACAGTAAACATAGGGGTACATATATCTTTTTGAATAAATATTTTTAAGTTTTTTGGGTAAATACCCAGAAGAAGGATTGCTGGGTCCTATTAAAAAGTTCATATAAAAAAAAGCCCTGATTGATGAGCAAACTTATTTTTGGTTAAGAGCTGATGGTAAATTGTGAGGTAGTCAGGAAAGCAAAAAAAATAAAAATAAAAATAAAAAAAATTAAAAACACATTATAGGATTTTATAATTTTATTTCTTTTTTAAAAAAATTATCTTTTTTTATTAAAATACAATTGTTATTTTTTTTTTATAACTGAAAGTTTGCACCTTTTATTCCCCTTCTACCAAACCAAACAAACAGAAACATACTTAATATATACAGATACAATCTGATGGTTGCCAGAGAAGAGGAAGAGGGGAAAATGACTTGAAAAATATGTTATTCTTTTAAAGTGTCTCAAGAAACTGTACTGCACATATTATTTTTGTGTTTTATACAATCCTGTGTGAGCTGGGTGAGAGAACCCAATTGCTCTGAATAGGGTGTGTGTGTTTTTTTCAGTGAGAAAAAAAAATCATCTCTAAATCTAAAAATGATAATAACAACAAAAACCATACATAGGGGAAAGAATCAGGATAAATTACAGGGAATAAACTTATTATTACTATTCCTCTTTTATGAATATTTTCTGTACTTGAAACTAGAGGGAGATTCTAAAAATAATTAAATCAATCTCCATTGACTGACCTTCCCAGATTCTAAAAATAATTAAATCAATCTCCATGGACTGGCAAGGGAATAGACAAGAAGCATCACCTCATTATTTACAGAATAGTGTTACCATGGCTTGCTGAAGCCCTTTTGTGGGCCACTCTGGAGGAAAGGCTAGAAACTGTGCCCATCTTCTAACTCTGTCACAGAGAATGGAGCAAAGCATCTAAAAAATATCAGTTTGATTCTTAAGGCGATTGAGGTGATGGGTGGGCATGTCCAATGGCTGGGCCAGATTGATAATTTAGTAACTTGCAACAATAATTGAACTTGAATTCAGGAAACTTAAATTCTTTTCTTAGTTCCACCCAACATGAGCTGTGGGACTTTCAGCCAAGTTTACTCCTGTAAAATGGAGCAAATGATATTGTCTCTCAGTAGGGTTGTTAATATTATTTAAACTCCATATATGTTAAGTATCATGATCACATAATATTTTGTAATTTATATTATACTAACCATGGCTTCCAAACTTTTTATCTTTTAGTCAGTGAATGAATTAAAAAATCTGCTTGAGATGCTACCTGCCAGGACAAGAGTCAAGAAATCTAAATATACCAGAATTCTTATGTATGTTCACCTTTGCTCTTAGATGTATTTTGCTTTTTATTTGTCATTATCTTTTCTACATTTTTGCCAGTCCAGGTAACAGGGAAATAGAGGTGCTTAAAGAAATTGCCTGTTTCCTAAGACCTAGATTTTAATGCATTTTTAAGGATCATGAAGCTGTTGTTTAGCTTGTCTCTTTGGAAATCAAAAGAAATTAGCTCTTGAGAAAAACACCTTAGGACGTACCAAGGAATTATTCAGAGTCAATCCAGAATTGTAAAAGTACAGGGACTTGTATTTTTTTTAAAATATATTTTACTGATTTTTTTACAGGGAGGAAGAGAGAAATAGAGAGTTAGAAGCATCAATGAGAGAGAATCATCGATCAGCTGCCTCTTGCACACCCCCTACTGGGGATGTGCCCACAACCAAGTTACATGCCCTTGACCGGAATCGAACCTGGGACCTTTCAGTCCGCAGGCTGATACTCTTTCCACTGAGCCAAACCCGTTTCGGCCAGGTGACTTGTAGTTTAACCCCACTTTCATTTTATTAGTTTATAATCCATGAAAAAAATAACAGGGAGTTGAAACCTTTGGTTCATGAGTCATTTATTATTACTCCTTTGTCTTCTACTTGCCTTATTCTTAGAAATGTGGTATTTTTCAATATCAATGTAAAGAGCAATTAAATAAAACATTTTTAATTGTAGCATGCATAATCCTTTCCCCATCACAGATAATGTTAATCTTGAAAAGTCTACATTTTTTTACATTTTAATTCAGCCATCAAGAAATGCTTTGTTCACCTATTGACTTAATAAACCATAATGTCAATGAATAAAAACACAACTTTTTGAAGCTTTCTGTGAGGTAATTTTCTAAAATGAATACTTTCAAACTTTGTTGTGGGTTTCCATTAGGTGTTAAATCCTCTAGTAATTAGACATTGTTCTTTCTGGTCATTTGCTAGGTGGTCCATCATCTGTGTGTGTGTGTGTGTGTGTGTGTGTGTGTGTGTGTGTGTGTGTATGTGTGTGTGTGAATCCTCATGATGATATTTTTTCCATTGCTTTTTATGGAGAGTGGAAGGGAGAGATGAAAGGAGAAAGAGAGAGAGGAACACTGATGTGAGAGAGACACATCAACTGGGTGCTCTAGCATGAGCACTGAGTAGGGGTAAGGAGTGGACCCACAACCCAGGTACATGCCCTTGACTGGAAATCCAACCTGCACCACTTTGGAGTGCAGGCCTACTGAGCAACACCTACCAGGGCCCTCCCATCGTCTTTTAATGCTCAAAACAAAATGATTTGAGGCCAATCACACAAGAGACTAGACTTCTCTCTGAGGTTTTTCTCTCTAAATACATTTCAACAGTTATTTTTTAAAAAATTACTGACATTTCCATCAATGCCTGTGCTGGGAGAACAGGGACTTACACATACTTCTAAAGACTGGGCTTTGAAAGGAGCAGCCTTTAAGAAGGCCCTGGCTGCTGTCTCCCCCTCCATTACCTTGGGGTTATTGGGGAATTTGTCACTACCAGTGTCACAATTGGAGCTGAGGTCAGAGCCACTGATAGCTGGCTACAGCCCCAAAGCATGTTTATCTCCCCTGCCCACTGTCTGGTACAAACTTCCAGCCAATCCCTCCAAGGAAAAACACATGTTTCTTTAGGAATATTTTTCTTCTACCTCAAAATTAGGTAGAGGCTTCTTATAGTCAAACTGCCTGAGTGGCAAGGATTATAGCGAGTAGTCTCCTGGAGACAGCTTATACTGGCTGGTTAGTGCAATTGTTAAATTCTCAGGAATATCGCCGGGACCAGTTTGGCTCAGTGGATAGAGCGTCAGCCTGAGGACTGAAGGGTCCTGGGTTCGATTCCGGGCAAGGGCATGTACCTTGGTTGTGGGCACATCCCCAGTGGGGGGTGTGCAGGAGGCAGCTGATCGATGATTCTCTCTCATCGATGTTTCTAACTCTCTATCTCTCTCTTCGTCTCTGTGAAAAATCAATAAAATATATTTTAAAAAATTCTCAGGAATATCATGAGCTGATTATGAAATACAGCCATTACTAAGAATCAACCTGCAAACATTTATAATTAAACTAGAAGCCTGGTGCACAAAATTCAAGCAAGAGTAGGCCTTCACAGCCACAGTGAAAGCTGCGATTTCTCCCTCATAGTCAGGGCGGCTGCCTCCATCTTGTGGCTACAGCCCTGGCTTCATCCAGAAGGTCATTTAAAAGGACTTCTTGTCAATTTGCATATTACACTTTTATTATTACAGATACATTATAGTAAAACCTGTCTTAGTCAGAATTATCCAGAGAGACAGACTATAGGTTTTTTTATTTAAATGATGTATATGAGATACACTGATTGCCTATAACAAATTAGCTCATGTGGTTATGAATGTAACCGGACAAACAGTGGGTCCATGCTGCCTAGCCAATTAAGCAGAGATGGGTTGAATCATATATGTGTGTTTATACCAACATTGCCCACAGTATGGGAGAGGAGCAGGTTAGCCATAAAAATCTGCTCTCCAGTCCTTCACTAGCCAGCTGCTTATGCTATATAATAGAAGCCTAATATACTAAGTGTCAGGTTGTCTGGTCATCTGTTCAACCAATGAAAGCGTAATACACAAATGATATGCTAAGACCACTCAACTGCTCACTATGATGTACACTGACCACCAGGGGGCAGACAGTTGACCAGTCAATCATTCACTATGACGTGCACTGATCACCAGAGGGCAGTTTAGCTTGCTGAGCGAGACAGGCCAGACACACCTAGGTGCCCTCCCACATAGGTGCCCTCCCACAGCCCCTCCCCAGCTGGCCAACCTCCTGTGTCACTCCCCAGCCCTGATCACGCACAGATGAGGTCCCTCTACTTGGCCTGCACCCTCTCGCAATCCAGGACCCCTCAAAGAGCCAGTTTTGGCCCAATCCTGCTTAAAGCAGAAGCTGCCCCCACAGGGGTAAGTTGGACATCCCCTGAAAGGTCCAGGACTACCAAAGGGAACCCGCCACCCCAACCACCAAGTGCATGATTTCCGTGCATCAGGCCTTTAGTATGGTAGAACTACAAAGGAAAAGTAGACGAAAGGGCAGTTTTCAGATATGAAAAAGAACTAGGGGTCTTTAAAGGGCTTAGTGATATGCAAGGGCTGGGGTTACATGGTAAATAACCAAAGGGAGTACCATATGGACAATTAACAGATAAGCAGGCTGGAGGTCTGCAAAGTCCTAAAGGTGTGCAAAAAGGGCTAGGGGTCCTCAAAGGGCTGGAAATTCTGGTTTCTGAAACATAGTTGTTAATCTTTCCATGATAATGGGCAGCTCCAAATGGGGAGGAAGACTGCATCTCCAGGTCAGCTTCAGCCAGGGTAGAATGTGCCTTCTTTAATCAGAATAAAACAATTATGGTTAACAGAGCATGATTAATATTTCTTACAATACTAGCTGTTCCCCAACATTCTATCTCTGCCCCCTCTCATGAAGACTAAGAAGTCCCACAATCTGATATTTGCAAACTGGAGACCCAAAGAGCTGCTGGTATAACTCAGTTCGAAGGCAGGAAACAAGGTAAGATATCCTAGCTCAGTGGTCGGCAAACTGCGGCTCTCGAGCCACATGTGGTTCTTTGGCCCCTTGAGTGTGGCTCTTCTACAAAATACCACGGCCTGGGCGAGTCTATTTTGAAGAACTGGTATTAGAAGAAGTTTAAGTTTAAAAAATTTGGCTCTCAAAAGAAATTTCAATTGTTGTACTGTTTATATTTGGCTCTGTTGACTAATGAGTTTGCCGACCACTGTTCCTAGCTCAAGCAGGCAGGAAGAAAAAGTGTGACTTCCTCTTTCCTCAGTGTTTTGTTCTGCTTAGGCCTCAGCCTTCACCCAGGCCTGGAGTAAGAGTGCTTTCAGGCAGAATGGGGTGATGTGAATAATGGGGTGAATTTAGGACCCATTAAATGAGGAAGGACATTTAGGTTAATAGCTATTAGACATTTGTTAACATAAAAATATTCAAACCTGTAAAGAATTTTTGTGTGTTTATTTGAGCCAAACCGTCACAATTGCTGGGAAGCAGAACCTCAATGGATAGAGACAGTGCTTCAGAGAATGGCGGGTTACATCTATATTTATAAATTGCAATCAAAGGAAGGGACGTAAATGGGTTACATGAGATCCATTGGTGATAAGGTAGAGAGGCAAGAGGAAGCAAAATGGGGGGGGAAGGGGGAGTCCCTGGGATTGAATAAAATGTAAAATAATAGACACATACTTATGTGAGTGCAGGAAAAATTAACATGATAACAATGAAGAAATCTATGGCATCTGTCCTGGTGCCCAGGCACATCAGGTTGTGCCCCAGGGGGTCCAGAAAAAGGGAAGTTACAAGTTACCCAGACATTTCAAGGGTTTGTTATTACCGATGCCAAAAAACAGATAGGCTCAGTTAAGGTAGAGGTTGACCTTGTCAGTGAAGATACCGGCCTAGGATGTAACTACACCATAACTGCTTTTAGGTAAAATTTAATTTCAGACCATCCTTTGTGGTGTCTTTAGGTCTTTGAGTTTGCAAGACCGCCATGCAGGACTCCCCTGAGCTTGTCAGGTTAGCATGCGGCCCTTTTCACCCACACACTGTCCTTAGTTCTTGCCATAAGTCATCTTATTTAATTTTCATATGCTCCCTTTAGCTTAGCGATGTTTCCATTTTTCAGATGATAACATTGACATTCAGAAAGAGTTAACCAATGTCACACAACAAGTAAATGGATGCCTGGAGTTTACCTCAGATATGACATTCTCTTTCCGGGACAGTACACCGAAGTCTTAGTACCTGAACATTATATTTATTCACTGTATATTTTAGAAACCAATAAGAAAAACTAACAGCTAAAATTTTTAATAAGAAAGTTGTCCATATATT